TCCACATTATATTTATATATATGCATATATACAGTAAATATATATTTATATATATGAAGAGCTCTTTTCCAAAACGCGTTAAACGACATTTAAAAAAAAAAAAAAAAGAGTTTGTCGTGTCATTCTGCTGTGGACAGAACCCTTTCACTGCTCCATCAACGTTTCATGCCGAATCGCTATATTTCCTTGTTTAAAATGTACTGCAAGATACAGTTTCTTTCCAAGCCGCGATAAGCGCCAGCCCTGTTTTTAGCCTAAACACGATAAATCCTCAAATTCAATGAGCGCTCTACACAATCCAGCACGGCGGCACTCTGAACAGAGGTTTATTATGTTCATTTATTCCTCAAAATGAGTCCTAGTTTTCTAGTCGACTAGTAGTAGATCGTTTAAGCCATTTGTATTATCAGTAATCACATATATTGATTTAATTAAATGGGAGAGAAACCATATGAGCGTTTTTAATTGCATATTCCGCATCTCAACGTATGCATAAAGCTTGCCACAAAGAACCGGCAAAAGTAATGATTATGCATGAAACATTTGAATTGTTTATTAATAAACTAGTGTTTTCTGTCAGTGTCAGCAAGAAAGATAAAGTTGATGATGCTTACTCGCCATCTTCGCAGTGAACGCGCATAGAGAAACGCATACTTCGAATTAGCCTACATACGCAGAGAGTTGCCAATTTATTTTAGTTTTTAATTGTTTTGTTTAAAAGTAGATATTTAAAGCTTTCTGTAGCTTAGTTCTCAGGCCTGTGTAAGGCAAGCGTCGCGGTGTTTCGGTTCATATTATGAGACGCGCTCCGGTTCACCTGCGCGCCTCTGTGTCCTGATTATATTGTCTGATATTTACTTCTAATGTATTAATCCAGTCAATTTGTCGATGAAACATTTATTAAAATGAAGATACAATTTATATGAAACGAAATTTACAAGCTTTCTACAAAACAAAACTTAATAAGTGGTCAAAATCATGTCTGACGCACTCCAAATATTTTCCGATATTGGGCAGCTTTTGAATTTTGATCCTATCTTACTCATCTCATGCGGTTCCCTTTTCATAGCCTACTCAACATAGATGAAATAATAAAAATAAGTAATGTAATATTATTAAAAACAAATGTGAAATGTTTATTTTGTTTTTTTGTTAACTTATATTTAAGCGTCATGCTGCTCCGCTTTGCTCACATGTTATGTAGCCTGTGTGTGTGTGTGTGCATGTGCTGGAGGGGTGCCCATCCCTTTTTTGAATATCGTTATCATATATTGATCATTTTTAATAATTCGTTTTTTTCATGCATATGTTGAAATTGGTATTAATAATTTGTTTTTTTCATGCATATGTTGAAATTGGTACTATTTGTTTGAGGTTTGACTCTTTACTAAAAATGACTTTACTAATAATGATACAAAAAATGGATGGATTTATAGCGTTTTGGAAAAAAATAAAATTAACTTTTAAATTATCATTAACAATATTGTTGTTTGATTTAATAATTATTGTTCAAAATGTTCAGACTGAACCAATAAAACATTTAAACAGGATAATTTGAATATTCACAAAATGTGTGGGTCTAGGTAAAAAATGTAGTTTTCCTGAAAACTATTGAAATGGATTTATAGCGTTTTGGAAAAGAGCTCTTCATATACACACACATATACAGTATATATACACAACTTTTGACCAGTCTCCATTTATATATATATATATATATATAGTGTATATACAGGGGTTGGACAATGAAACTGAAGCACTGGCCAATGTTGGAGGTTTCACATCTATATGCCTGGCGGCCAATCTTCAGAGTAAAGCACGGGTGGATCAGTGATGGTTTGAGCTCCTATATCATGACAATCCTGATTGTATTTGCGATCAGGATTGTATTCACGACACTGCCGAGGACTACCAAACCCTTCTGGAGGATCATGAGCACCTGATGCTCAAACCGTGTATCAGCATGATCATGCACCAACACACACAGCAAGACTTGTGACAGAAGGGTTTGATGAAGATGAAAGTGACGTTGAAGATCTCCCATGGTCTGACAGTCACCAGATCTGAATATTAATGAGGTGTTTTGGAGGAGCGAGTCCACCAGCATCATATAGTGACCTGGACACTGTTCTGGAAGAGGAACGGCTCATAATCCCTCAGGTCACTGTGAAGGACTTCTATCTGTCAATTGGTGCTGTATTTGGATGCAAAATGAGGCCCTCACCATTCTAACAAATTATTGTGTAGTAAAACCAGGTGTTTCAGTTTTTTTGTCCAACAATATATACTGTATATATATATATATATCTTGACTTAAAGTGTTACTCCTAAGGAGAAATAGACATTAAATGAGAAAGCTGTTATTAAGCAGTTCTCTCATTATATGCTGTGTAAGAGAAACAATTGAGACATTAGTAAGATCTTTGTGATGTCCTGTGGTTGTGTGCATGAGTGTTTGCATGGGTATAGTAAGTAAAAGTGTGTGTGTTTGTGATCCTGGTATTCCCTACAAAGACGGCAAAATGCGAAATCCTTGTTTTTGCTGGGAAATTTTTTTGGTCCCATCATAAGGAAATCAGTGACGTCTTGTTTAAAATGTAGGGTTAGGATTATGGGATAGAAAATACAGTTTGTACAGTATAAAAATCATTGTCTATGGAATGTCCTCATAAAGCATGAAAACCCAACACGCGTGTGTGTATTGCATGTTCATGCACTGCTCTGGTTCTGCAGCTGTCAGGTGACATTTAAAAGGCCTTTCATAGCTTTCATTATATAGCCGAGCTTCCCCATCATAACATCTTAAAATCATTTAACAGACATACTGTTTAGTTTAAGCATTAAACACACACACACTGTCAGAGCAGCTGTAGTGAATACATTGGAGCAATCAATATGAGTTAACCCTCATGTTCTGGGGGGTCCGACAGACACAGAGGCCCTTTTAATATCTCTGAAACACATTTTACATTAAAGGATCTAGTTGATACTTCATGACTTTTCTTAATCTTATGAGAACTGATTGTGAACAAACTTTCAATGTGACGGCATGCTGTTTGAATTACATCCATTTCTTCGTCTGCCAGTTTGCATTCATTGTATTTTTCTACAACTCAAACAGAGCAATGTTAATATATCATAAGCAAGTTCATCTGAAAAGTGCACAGTTGTTAACAACAGGGTTAAAGCTTCAATAATATCTATTAAATCATTATTGATTAGGTTGGAGGAACATATTAAAGATTTTGAAGAGATTAATTTCGACATTAAAGGGGTAGAGGGAAAAAAGTTTTATTGAAATGAGTCATTTTTTTATGCAATCCTTTAAAAAAAGTCTTAAAGTCAGCATGGAATTGAAGTTCGTTTATAAAAATGGAAAAAAGAAATCAAACTAGAAAAAAATGTAGGGTGGGACTTGATTTTCTCCATCGGGAATTGATTGGATGGTTGTGGTTTGCCATTGGTGGATCTTATGTGATTGACAGGTTGGTTGTCCCGCCCTTGCGCCGGTGAACACGTCATCATATAGTTATTTTGATTAAAGATTATTAGGCACATGAATAAAAAAAAAATAGCTGATAAATAATTTATCATCATTTATATTACACATATTTCATTAAAAAATAAGAATTGTCTAAGAATTTCTACAATTGCATCAGCAACATAAAGCTTTTCAAGCGTAAGACCACTGTGTCAGTCAATAAAACAATCAAAATGATTTTTTTTAAATAATGTTACTTTTTAGGGCTGGGTAATAAATATCGATTTCTCGATATTAAACGATTCTCATTTTTACGAACCGATATCGATTCTTAAATCTCAAGAATCGATTAGTCATCCTGTTTTATTTGAATGAATGGGACATTGTATCGCGGCTGCGCGCATCCAAAAAATCGCAATAATCTTTGTCCTTTGTTACTATTGATATGAAACAAAGTCTCAAATTTCAAATTACGTCCATTTTCTTTAGAAATTCAAAAATATAAATAGTGTTTTGGCGCTGTGGCGTGAGATCGCTCTGGAGAAGCAGCAGCGCTGATCTCTCTTCCGGGTTAATAATACCAGTCACAGCGTGAAATAAACATGAATGAGCATCTGAAAGTGAGTTAAAAGATAGAGTACAACTTATCGAAATCCGTATCATGTCACATTGATTCGCCAATCAACGTTTCAACCGTAGAAAGACATCAGTTAAACAGTTTGTAATCAATGTCATGTATCGTCATATTTGCCTCAGAAAACCCACATAAACTCGTTAGTCAGCTAGAAAAAATAACTCCAGAGAGGAGCATTTTGCTAAATATATACACCATATGCATTATAATCTTAATGTTCTTCAATATTTAATGCATATTTGAATAAATCTGGCAAGTTTATATGGCAGCCACCATTTAAATGTTTATATTTCATATAATCATCTTATAAAAATAAATAAAAGTGTAATTTAAGTGTTTGTATAGCTACAAAACAGTTCATTATTACTTCATATTAGGCTAATAAAGCCTAGTAGGCTACAACTAGACTCCCATAGTTTACAGCATTAGTTAAGAGATTTGATTTCCTTGAGAAAATTAGCCATTTATTGTAACTGATATCCAAAATAATCAATATTGAATCGAATCGGAATCAAAATCAAATCGAATTGTGAAATTTGTGTCAATACCCCGCCCTATTACTTTTTTAGGCATCAAGAGGCTTTTTGTGTGGTGGAAATCATTCCTCCAGGTATCTGAAGTGTTTGAAGTGAATCGGACAGAATGTGATCCCTGTAGTGTATCGCAGGAGGGCTGTTGGTACCATCCAGCACCATGGCCCAAGGGTTCCTCTTTGCATGCTTTGGGTTTGGCAGCGGAAGAGATGCGCTTTCACATGCCAGCAGAGGTCACCCAGATTTTCCAAAGTGGGCGGCCTCCCTCTTTTTCCCCAGCTGTTTCCAATCAGCTGGCCTTTTCTTGGCCCATATTTTCTCACTCTCGGTGTTTCTCTCTCTCTAAACACAGGAGTTGTAACTTGGCTGCATCAACATCCCCAAACACCAATAGCAGCACCAAAATGTGAGGAAGCAATGTCGGTATTAAAATATCAAATCTATTTTAAAATATTGAGACTATATTTTTTGATTAGTATATTTGATTATTTCATTGATTGTTTCTGAAAACACTGATCTGTTTGTATGTTGTCATTCTAACCATCCCAACACAGGAACAGTGACTCAACCAATGGCGTCCATTTGGGGGCGGGACTAACGCCTTTTCAGAGTAGTAGCAGAAAGGGTAAGTGTTTTATTTTTGCGTTTTGCTTTGGTGCTTCACTTTCAACTGAACTCATTGTTGCTACATGTCCATTTTGATCAGTTTTCTAGTCATTTGTTTAAACTATATTTCATAACTACATTGTAAAAAAACTTGGTGTAGGATATACTTAGATATACACAGAAATTTCCTGTAAATTTCACAAAGAAATAGCAAGTAACACTGAATTAAGCGTGAAATTTTGAAGAAGTCTGATAATAGTATTTTCTTGCAAAATATACTCCAATAATCTTTGTTTTATTCGTATAAATACAGATGACGTGTATAAATATGTCCGCATATTTATGCGGGGCCACATTTTTTCAAATACGCCGCATTTTCATCGCATAAATTACCGTTTTCCGCGCAAAATATGCAGGGCTTGCATGATTTCACAATCCTCGCATTTTCGTTGCAAAAAAGTCACATGTTTCTTAGCAGGAAGTTGAAAAATGTTGCGTTTGGTTCACACAAGAGCAGCCGTTTCCCCCTGTTGCCATGGGAACGGTATGAAGTGACGTGATTACGCGACGTCGAAAAGGTGTGAAAAAGGAGCACACTTTAATTTTTTATATTTAATTTATTCATTTTTGCAGAAGTTGCATCATATTACTTTTGTACAGCTACAGAACCTGTTTGACTTATCAATGTTTTGTAAGTTTGATGTGTTTATTGAGGTCTTTTAACGCGTTGTGTCGGGAAGAAAAATAGGGATAGCTCACAGCTGAAGTTATCGCAGTAAAATGTATGACAAAAACCTAAAACTTACACTTAATCAACATCATTTTTCAGACAATTAATCGTCAGCCAAATTTAATAATCGTGACAGCCTACTTACAAGAAAATGATCGAAAAAAGAGTGATCTGCTGCAACAATTGTGACATTTCAATTGTGTAATTCAGGACCATATTCCAGCCCAAATATGAAATGATATCATTTTAATAGTCTTGTGTCATCGGGGTAATTTTCCAGTTCCGCCCCCCAAACCCCCCCGGAGTCGCATTCATAAAGACGTATATTAAATGTGACGGTTGGCAATATTCACTAAAGAACAGTTGTACCTCAAGGATCAGAGATGATTCATCACAACGGCGAAAAAAAGCGAGAGACGAGGCGTGCTAAAACCGTCCAATGCAAATTAGTCCGATTTACAATCGTGTATTCTTCTGCAGACCATTGCTAAATGGTCAGGCTAGCTAGTCACAGATATTAAAATAAATTATGTCTAATTTGAATTTTAGTCACGGTACATTAACTAATAGAAAGTTATTAACATTTCAAGAGAGGAGGAAAAAAAAGCTTTTGCCTGCAAAATTAACAGTGGCTGGGCCTGACCTGTGCCGTGCACAGTTTGATCACTGTAATGACAGCCTAATGGCATATTTACATTTAAATCTCTGTAGCTAATATGGGATTCAGAATGGGACGCTAAGTCAAGGATTATTTGGTGTGGCCTGCTGGCCCCTCCGAGAGCATTTCTTCACTTCAATCCTTGGCAGAAACTTCTTATTTCATGACTATTTATACCAGAAGCCTCTGCGGTCTTGCCAGCCCCTCCCATGTCCTAATGTGCTCTTTGGTGCGTATCTTTTATCTGTGCTCCTCTCTTCTCTCTTCCTCAGTCTTTAAAGGCAATTATCATCGGCCCGCGTGCTTCCAGAGCCTTGTTAGATGAATGAAATTGCACATGGAGAGTGACGGCTGTTCGTTCGTAGCCCTGAGAACAGTTTTCTTGCATTTTAAACGCTCTTGTTTCTTTCTCTGCCCCCTCCGTTCGCGTTTCTCTGGATGATTTGAATTCTCAATTGAGGATTTTGAGGTGCTGCGATTAAAAAAAAAAACCTGTGATCTGTATGATCGGCAAAATACTTAAACAACTGAGGCTTGTCAAAACAGCCTGATTTGTGGCAGGTTCCTGTGAACACGACCTGTACGTTTAAATGCAAAGACAACCAGATAGATGTGAGACATTCAAAGAGTCGACAGAATTTCCTTAGATACATGATACAATGAGAAAGCTCAATTGGTAAAAAGAAGGTTATCGTACAAACTGGAAAGCGAAATGGTGTGATGTGGCGTTAAAAAAAAATCCTGTCAAAACTTGAAGTGTTTGAAAAAGATTAGATCCATCAACATCCTCTCATGCCACAAAACCTGATTAAAAAAGCACTCGGTTTGACCTAAAAAATGAATGTTGAAATCGAGACAAGACGATGACTAGCTTAAACACTTAAAAGCCTGGTTTATCCACAGAATATCTGGCTGATTCATCTTGTTTTCCCAACATGCTCTTTGCGGGAGGCATTTTAAAATACATTTATTACAGGGAGCTGTGCCTCGGGCCGATGCTATCGAACTCTGACATTCTGCAGGTGGGGGGATGTGACGTGTATTTAAAAATGCAAAATGACATCTAGTGTTTGCGTGCTAGCGTGTAGCAGACCCCGAGTGTAGCCGGCCATCTGTTGATCTGGTCACATGAGCCGAGAGCTGGCAGAGCCTCTGTACACATGCTCATGTTCTGAGTGGATAGGAGAAGAGAAATGAGGAGAGGAGAAGAGAAATAAGGAGCATCAAAGAGGTGAAAGGGGTTGGAGAAATAAGGGGGAAAAAAATAGAAATGAGCAGAGGAAAAAAGATATTAGAGGATAACAGGAGAAGTATGGAGAAAAGAGCATCAAAGACGTGAAAGAAAAAAAATGTGAAATTGGGAAAGAGAAGAGAAATGTGGAGAAAAGAGCCGAGAAGAAGATTAATGAGGAGAGAATAGGAGAAAATTGCATCAGAGGGGTGAAAGAAAGAAGAGAAATTAGGAAAAAAGGAGAAGAAAGAAGAAAAGAGCATCAACAAGGTGAAAGAGAGCAGAGAAATTCTGAAAAGAAATTAGGGAAAAGACAAAAGAAATGCCAGAAAAGAGCCTAGAAGAAGAGACATGGGGAGAGAATATGAGAAATTAGGAAAAAGGTGAAAAGACAAGAAGAGAAGTAAGAAAAGGGCTATAGAAGAGAAATGAGGAGAGAAATCAGGAGAAATTAGGGCACAAAAGAAGAAGAGAAGAGCATAGGAATAGACCTTATTCAGAGCAGCGCCATGACGGGTATGAAAGTGAGGCTGTGAGGGATAGACTTGCCATGTTTCCAATGGCATCCGCTGTAAAAAGCTGAATAAAGCTCCTAGATTACTTACAATTTTCCACAGCTTACATTGTCGGGAGTTTTTTGTCAACTGACATTTCTTGGAAAGATATTTTTCCAGTGTTTCATGAGCAGAACAATCTGAAAACACATTAAATAACAGTACAGCCCATTGAAGAGATGCATAACTATCCCTCACAGCCTCACTTTCATTCTCATTAAAAATCAAAGATGGCGAAAGTTATAAATAAGAAAGTGAAATGAGGAGAGAATAGGAAAAATAGGAAGAAAGGAGCATCAACATGGTTAAAGGGAGAAGAGAAAGACTTAGAAATTATGAAACGAGAAAAAGAAGAGAAGTGAGTGAAGAGTAGAAGACAAGCAGAGATGAGGAGGAGGTGACATAGGGAAACAATATGGCCGAGGAGTCTCCACAGCGGTGAGACAATGCCACATTACTGATTAAAGCTCTTCAGAAAACACTAAAAATTAATATCATAAGCACACACGGAGTGGCCATTAGGGTGCTGTAATGTGACTCAGGAGGGGCATGATGGATGTCCAGTGGCTCGAGGGACTTATTTGCACACAGACTGTTATTAGGCCAGCGCTGGAGGCAGAGCAATGGAGAGGTGGCTCTTTATTAGTGTAACATCCACAGAGGTGGACTCAACCCATCACTAACAGCAGATCTATCAATCTATCTATCTATCTAGATACAAAAATTAATCTCAGAAATTTCTAGTAAATTTCACAGCAAGTTAAAGGGATACTTCACCTCTGGAAAGATGAATGGGTATTTAAAATGGGTCATTTATGTAGAAGAAATGTGAAATTATTTTTGAATTTGGAGCTTTCTAGACTGAGAAAAGCCAGAATTTTGTATTTTCGGCTTATGTGGATGAAAGACTACAACTCCCAGAATGCACTTGCTTCGCTGCCCTAGGAGGCCACGCCTACCGGTAACTGCTCAGTAGGTAAACAACAAGTCTAGGCTACTAGGATGAGTCTGCCCAAAAATGTGTTTCGAGATCGCCCAAAATGTCCGGGATTTGGCTTTTGCGTTCTACAGTCGCCGTTCATCATGTTTACTGTGGCGAGCGGGACGAGTGAGGGCCGCGGGAGAACGGCGCGTGATTATCGAAGAGCGACATCTGTGAGACGCACCGGTCTCGTATCTCTCACGGAGGAGCGGGAATTTTCTTAGCAATGTTAAAACGCACATCAACCGATCACTTGTTTAGCGTTCATATAAACACTACATTCAGATTCACCATTGGAATGAATTCAGTTAGATTGAAACAAAAGGTGTGCATGTAAACAATGAATGGTGACTGCAGAAAGCAAAAGCTGAATCACGAACATCGACGGCCGGACAAAAAGAGAATGGTAACCGCTACTACTCAGCTTAAGAGTCTGCTAGCTTAGCTTCCAAAAAAAGATGTCTGACACTGTGTTCATTCTGTGAGCCCTCTATGGGTGGGTTGAGGACATGCGGGACAGACCCGACTACTGACTGTAGTCTTTAGCCTCTGGCCAAAAAATCCTCAGATGATGCAAAATGACGATTTTTGCGTCATCGGATGATTTTTTCCAGACAAAAAATACATAAATCTCTCGTCTCAGGGCGTTGTGAGGCTGGAAAGCATGGTAATTCGAAAATACTACAGGTTTTCTACTAATACAAAGCTTAATGCTAAATCCTGAAGTATCCCTTTAAGCATTGAAATTACAAGTAGAAAGATTGAAACAGCATTTTCTTGTAAAACCAATGTTTTATTTGCACCTTTGAAAAATCTGTCTATCTAGAGGTATATATGAAGAGTTCAGA